TATTTGTTTTGAAATGGTATTATACCATGTTTATGGATTTATGGAATTTATAACACGGTGCAATTGAATTTTTGGAATACGAATTTATAAATTACAGCTCTGATCAAGCTGGAAAATTTTACACCTAAGTGACTCTTAGGTAGGCTCTGCGGCCCTGAGATCATTCTGGGTAGGCCCTGCGGCCCTAAGATGTGTTCTTAGGTAGGCCTCACGGCCCCGAATCTATCTTGGGTAGGCTCCCAGGCCCTAAGATGTTCCCTTAGGGTAACGCTTTTTAAGAGATTTACTGCAGTAGAATTTTATGAGACTTTTTGGACTATGATATGTTTAGTGTACCTAGTGATTTTATGGTAATATTGGGACACTGAGCCTAGCTCACTTTTCGAAAATGTTTTTCCCCTTTCAGATACTGTTGGTTAGATACCCTGGATGAGCACTTGGAGGATCAACATCTCTGTGAAGTATATCTGATTGTAATTTTTACCTTGCAAGTTGACTTTATTTTGTTGACATGGACCTTATTTAAAGTATGGGATTTTAATATGATGACATTTTTACTATTACTATTCGGTTTATCGTGATTTGATTTTTAGATATGTTTAAATTAATTTATTACTTATTATATTTACAAGTTTAGGTTTTGAGTATGATTTATTATAATTTCATGTCATTTATAATGTGATTTACATTGTTTGAATAACGGTTTCGAAAAAATGTCTTAAAGAATCATAATGTGATCCACTAGACTTAGTCGAAACGCATAGGCCGGGTCTAGGGGGTTACACTAACCACAACTAATATTGTGTTCGTGTTGTATCGTATTTTAATCGTAACAATAATAGTTAAGTTATAAAGTTTACCAAGTGCCATTCACACTTCCAACAAGTGGTATCTAGGGCTTGGTTCGAGTTTACGCAATGAGAAATGACCAACATGATTCAATCACAAATCTCGAGATTAACAAAGACGAACTATGAAAATTGTAATATACAATGAAGGTGGTACTTAATTCCCAAGATTAGGATGTCGTCGAAGAAGGTTATGCCAAAACGAAATGCAACGATAGAAGCAAATTTGATCAATGAAGAAATCCCGAAAGACAATAAAGCGTTATTTTTTATTTTTCAAGAGTAGATGAATCTACATTCGAGAAAATATTAGATACGAAAATCACAAAATAAGTGTGAGAGATTTTATAAACATCTCTTCAAGGTGTCGAAAAAATGTACGTTTACAATCTCTAAGAGATGAGTTTGAAATGTTGAATATAAAAAATACAAAAGTGTTGATGATTATATTAATTGTATAAAGCGATCGTAAATGAAATGAAAAGTTTAAGAAAAATATTTGGTATCTCGACAATTGTGACAACAACCATATGTGCGACTGAATGGAGCTATTCGTAAAGTTAGGTGAAACATTTATTGTAGAGTAACATTTGGAGATGACTCGCACGCAGAAGTCAAAGTCAAAAGTGAAGTCATTATTATTCAAAAAAATGGTCAAAAGAAGTATGTCTCATATGTTTTATTATGTATCGACTTTGAAAAGTAACATCATCAACAATAGTCAACTTATGGAAAAAGGATGCAAAGTGGAGATAAAGAATCGATCCCTCACCATAAAAATAAAGATGTAGAACTAATTGTCAAAGTTGATGACTCGAAATCATTTCTTTACCATCGACATTGAATCAAGAGAAGGTGCATGAAACTACGATTAAAGATGATTCATGGTTGTGGCATCTACGATTTGGGCATGAAGCTATTATCGAGGTAAACATGGTGAAAGGACTGTCAGAGATCAACTCTCCAAATCAATATGTGAGACTTGCATTAAAAAAAAGGTCGAAAAACACAAAACGAGACTAATTGCCAAAGGCTACAAACAAAGACAAGGGATAGACTACGAAGAAATATTTGCTCCAATGGCAAGGATCTAGACCATTAGACTTCTCACAGCAATTACAACACAAAACAAATGGAAGATTTACCAGATGGATGTAGAATCAACATTTCTAAAGGGCTACCTAGAAGAAGCTTGTATCGAGCAACCACTTAGATACATTAAAAAATGACATTATCACAAATTTATTGATTGAAAAAAGTGTTGTATGGTTTAAAGAAATCTCCAAGAGTGTATACACAAGAATAAATGAATATTTCCAGAAAAATAAGTTCATGAGAATCAATACGAACATTCCTTAAACACAGAATGCAAATGGTATTATCCTGATCGTGTGCTTATATGTGGACGACATGATTTTCACGAGAAACAATTCATTTATGTTTAATGATATCAAGAAAGCCATAACTAAAGAATTTGAAATGACAGATATTAGTGAAATGTTATACTTTCTTAGAGTCGAGTGAAGCAAATGCAGGATGAAATTTTATATCTTTAAAGAAATACACAGAGCAGACTTTAAATAAATTCAGAATGGTAGATTGCAAGTCGGTAGCCACTCCAGTAGAACCAAGCATGAAATTAAGTGTAAATTCAACAAGAGAGCCAATGAATCTGACATTTAAAACATCGTTGTAAGCTTAAGGTATCTAACTATCATTCGACCAGACATACATATGTTGTGGGATTGATGAGCAAATTCATGGAGAAACCAAAACAAGATCATTGGTTGCAACAAAGTGAATTTTGAGATATGTTGGTTATTCTGATAGTGATTACGAGGGATATTTGGATGATCGACAAATTACTTCTGGATATCTATTTCATATTGGCTCAATATCATTTTCATGGTCCTCAAAGAAGTAACAAACAATAGCTCTTTCAACATGTAAAACAAAATATATAACAGAGTGCACTTGTGAAGCATTGTGGTTAAAGAATTTTAAACGAGTTAAACTTAGCACAATAATCAACTAAAATTTATGTCGACAACAAGTCCATAATCTCTCTTGCCAAGAATCCAGTCTCCCATAGCCAAAGAAAGCATATTGATAAAAACTATCACTTTATACGAAAACAGGTGAAGAATAAAAATGTGGAGTTAATCTACTACAATTGAACATCAATTAACATATATTTTAACAAAGCCATTAAAAACATAAATATTCAACAAACTCAAAGAAACACTTCAATCAAAATCAGATTTGAGAGGGAGTATTAGAATTCAAATCTTATATTAATTCTTACTTTTGGCAAGACAATGGATGGTTCATGAATGGTTGGAAACTTCATGAAATATTAACATGAGTTGGCAAGCAGTTTAAGAAATTGATTAGCTGAAAACATGGTAACATTTTGATGATGAAACAGTAGCTAGATTTTTCTAGTATGCATGCAAAGTTTGAAATTACATGAAGGAAGTAACGTGTATGGCAGCAGGTAAGAAATGATATCAGTTTTAATGCTCAACAATTAAGCAATTTGAAGCAGCCACAAATTGAAGCGGCAATAGAGTGACGACGCAGTAGCAACAAAATTATGAAGAAGATTAAGGCGGCATAAGAAAAAATCAGTAGCATTTTAGGCAGTTTACTACACCTATAAATATGTGTGTAGATTAGCTTTAGTATGTATGAATATATGTGAGACGGAAAAACGAGAGAGTGATAAAAAGAGCTCAGAAAGCTTTTGTGAGTGATGACTAACCACAGCTAGTGTTGTATCGTATTTTGTTCGTATCAATAATAGTGTAAGTTATAAAGTTTATCAAGTGCCCATTCACGCTCCCAACATATACTTATTGTTTTTAAATATATAATAAGTTATGTCAATTAAGATAATTAACTAATTTAAGCTAATTAGCTAATTAACACGCACATCAAACAACTTTCATGAGTTGAATTGGCTTTCATCCCACACTTGCCGCCCCCTAGATTCACACTTCCGGCACTCAGGTTTGCTCCACGTTAGCCATAGATCGTCTTCCAACGACCGCACGACTTCAAAAGAGGCCAACCAACCGGGACCGAACCCGTTGCAACTCATTGGCAAGTCGACAATGACATCAAAGAACCAAGATCGAAGTAGCAAAATTGTGTAATTACCATCGCTGAGACAGGCAATCGGATTCAAACAATACCTCAAATAATCCAACGGGCAACTGAAAACGTGAAATCTTCATAATAAATAACCGAAAATGGAGAACCAGAAAGTTTGAGCTTGAGAATTCTCCGGGGAAGGCAGTTGCTGGGGTCATTGATCCATTTTTTGTGCACCATAAATCGCTTCAATGCTGAAATTTCTGGAGTGAGGCAGCTGAAGCAATGTCCGGGCCGAGTTATGGTTAAAGGATAAATCGAAACCTGGGCAGCCCCAAGACTTAGGCTGCCAGCCAATGACGGGAATAGAATCAGTGGCGTCGATCTGGTGATTGGCAGACGGATTCCATTCATGAATCTTTGGTGGTGCTTGTTACAGTGTGTAAGGAGTAGTAATAGTATAAGAAGATGATGAAGAAAGAGTTTGAGAATGTTCATATTGATGCATGAAAAATGGAACCATAGGGTGAAATAATGATTTGAAGTCAAAATATATGAATATAACCTCTGGTTTTGAGCTTTTCTAAACGGAGCAGTCTCAGCTTGATGTCATTCGAAAAGAATGAGTCATTTTATCGAGTACTTTATGCGCAACTTAAAGTCTAAAACGAGCCAATTGTTGGCTCGAAGCAGCCATTGTCAAATGAAGATTTTCTATTTTTATACAGTCAAAGCTATAAATTTAGGAAGAGAATCCAACAAGGTTTGAAACTCAATGTTTTGAGCTAAATTTATTGGACAAGCATTAGCTTCATGACTTCATTCTACATTCATGATATAAAAATTTAGCAAACTACATTACCAAAAAGAAAGGAAAAAACCTCAATATTCAGAAGTCGTAGCAACGACCGTTGCGTTCCCAATCACCGTACCGAGTGGGCTCCGGGCCTTTAGGACCACCAACCTCCCCCGTCTCTTTATTCACATGATCTTCTTCATCTACGCCTTCACTTTCTTCTTTATTCTTCGATTCAAGATTCCCTCTCACAGCTTTCCCATCTTCCTCGTCGACCTTTCCTCCATGGTTCAACTGAGATTGCTGAGCGGAGGAGCATACAAAGTGAGTCGCCGAGTTGGAAGCAAAACGAGTCACCGAATCTGATCTGAAACCAGTGAAAGACGGTTTGGAAATAGAGTGCTTTGATAGCGACGAGAATAGACGGCTCAGACTGGCTTTCGCCATTTTTTGCTCTTTAGCAAGCGGCAACGAAAATGCGGGAACGAATTGAAGCCTAAATTGGTTTTGTTCTCTGAGAAAGAAGGGATTAAAAAGGAAAGAGAGGATTGGGGGAATGGAAACACCAGCACGGCGTCGTGTTGGAACGCGATGCTGCCGCCACGTTTTTATGCTAAAATTGTTGCGACTTGGAGACTATAAAATGGCCTTCAGGCCCAAAAGGACAATTTGCAATTCAGACCAGACCAAATCCAAAGGACAATTAATGAGTCTGTTTGGTTAAGAAAATAATTTTAATTTTGAATATTAAAGAAAAACGTTTAATGCTTAATTTATTTCTAAAATCGGTGTGAAAACTAAATTTCGTCTTGTTCTGCATGTCTTAGCCTAAATTGGGTCCAAAAACCAAAACCCCTAAACATTACTAGTATTTAGTATAAACTTCCAAACTCTAAATCGGGCCAATTTGCCAAGCCCACTAGACTTTATACTTTTTAAACATAGTGTGGATTCCCTAATCTTTCTCGCTCGTAATCGACTTTATACTTTTTTAACATCATAATTACGAGTTTATACTTTTTTAACATCATATCTTTTAATGTTGTGTAGATCATTTTATAACTTTTCAATGACAAAAATATCATTTGAACATAATTCGATATTTACCCATAAAAAACACCATTTATTGGTGGATGCTCCACCAAGCTAGACATGACACTATTTTTAAAAAAAAATTTGATGAAATCAGAGTTTTAAGTGAATAAAAAAGAGTTCAGTACCAAAATGAGAACACAATATAATATTCGAGGGCTGAATCATGAATAATGCAAAAAAAAAATTGTATGTTGAGTGCAACCAACAGAAATGAATTTGAAATATATAAAGAAAAAAAAAGTATGGTACACAATGATGTTTGATAAACAAAGCAACCTGAGAAACAACATTTTCTAGCAACCAATATCGTACTTGAACACTGTGAACAAAGCAAAAATCAATGCACCCCGAAGTTCTTAGAATGGTGTTTTCCCTTTTACTAATCTAAAGCTCGGTGTCACAAAATCGGATCATTAGGTCGGAAACGATTCTCCTCGCAAATGGAATATAGCTCAGACAGTACCTGAAGGAAAGTTCGAAGTACAATGATATAAACAGTCTAGTTATCAAACATTAAGCATTAATATGAATTACCCTCGAAGGAAACCGAGGAAATACAGAGATGTTTACAGAAAATAAGGATAAATGTGAGAGGCCAACTTACCAGACAAGGGCACAAATCTCACATATGACTGCAAGTAATGTCAAAATCTTGCTGTGAATCTGCCATATCAAAAGTTCAAGAACATGACATTCTGAATATAGTTCTCATACTGTAAAAGGCTGAAAGTAACAAAACGTAAACAGTTTAGCAATTTTGTATCGGAAAATTTAGTTACTGAGGTTTAAAGTTTAAACAATTTGACATCAAACTATTATGAATTACTCGGAATATTGTATACTCGATCTATGAGGTTTTCGTAGATTCAAACTTCTTTCAATCACTAAAGATTGCTGGAACTTAACATCACAGGTTCAAGGTAGCAAACTTGCCCATAACGCACAAATGAGAGCAAGAACAACAAATCCAATGTAAACAGCTGTAGCGTAAACTCGAACAGAATCAAACATCATTCGTAGCTGTTGCTCGGGTCCCATGAGGAATGCTGTGCTGTTAGAGAGTATCACAAAGTAAAAAATATGAGAAATCTTGAGCAGCAATCAATTTAATAATGCTGAACTATTAAAGGAACTATTCATCACCGTACTTCATTATTTATATCCTGATTCATTTTGACTGTTTCATTGACAAAACATTAATAGAGTTGTGGTGGACTACTAGATTGCCAGGATTGATAAAATTGGTTTCGAGAGCACTATATAAAAGTCTAGACACAAAGTTATGCCAGTTATGCGGCACTCAAGGGTGATGATCGTTAAAGTTTGAAATGCTATTCATTTGTTATGGTGTTCAGAAGCAACTTTATGACAATTAAACCCAAAACATTTGTTGAGAGTTCTGCTAGAATGAGGGCACCAATCAACCTACCTTCCAACTGCCAACACATTTCCGAAGGTGAACAACAATGCAAATTTGATGGGTATGGCAAACACAACAAATGACTGCAAAAGAAACAAAAAGTTGAAAGATAATGTCATAAAGTAATCAAATACCAATAAGGAGCTTGCTTTACAATTGCAACTGGCTGTATCATTCCCCAGATGAACATGTAAAGGACTTGCATTACAATTAGAAACTTGATACAGTTTTGCTCTTTTTAGTGGAAGTGAGGAGGAAACTCGAGACCATATGTTTTTCCCCTTATGCTTTTAGCAAACAAATCTGGGATAAAGTTCTTGAATTGTGTGGCATTCCTAAACACCTTGAAGACAAACCCGTGAATTTGTTGGATTTGGACCTAAAGAATCGGTTAAGAGTGACTATATCTACATGATCTTCACTGACAAATAGTAGAATGTATGAGAAGAAACAAGAACCGTGCATGACCTTGTACGATTGCATTGCGAGACTATCCGGTAATGTCACTAGGATTTCAACTGACTTTGACAATAAGGATATCTGCTATATAAATGGGGGAATTGTTGAATAGACTATTCAAAACGTAAATTTTCATCTTTAATGGTGGTGTTTCTGCTACTGCAGTTTTAACTTGTGATAAGCCTTCCCAGTTCTTTGGGTAACAATGAACTTTCAATTATCCAAAGTGCAGCACTTTCCCTAAGAGCTACAACTGAAAGTCTCCAGAATTCATGAACTATAAAGATATTACCAATCAACAATGCCTAATACTAGCTGAAACCTAAAATCATAATGTTTCGGAGCCCCCAAACTGAAATTTTCATCGATAATTAGAATTTCAAATGAGGAAGAATTGAATGATCATACCAGAAACATAAGAACAATACCCGAGAGTAAACAAGCGGCGGATGCGTATAATCTCTGCATCAAACAATAAATACCCAAAAATTGAATTGCTGAGAAATGAAACATGGAATCTGAAGAAAGTGGGAATTCAAAGTGTTGAAAAGGAAAACAAAGAAGAAGAAAGGAATGAACGAATGAAGAAAAATAACAGAATTACCTGCGTCGCAGATAGCGAGCATAAGCCTTCAGATTCTTCATCTAAGAAGCTTTCGGTTCTCTCTTCATCATTATTCCACATTTCTGAACTTCGAATTCTTCACAATTCCTCCTAACTGTTCTTCGGATTCTTTTTACTTTTTCCCGTTTTCTTACTGTTTTGTTCTAATTAAATTAGCTAGTCATCAGAACATGCCGCTTGAAAAAAAACATAAAGGAAAACTTTTATTATAGTTATTTATTTATCTAGAAATAGGTTAAACTACCATATGGTGACCCAGCATTTAAAATGATTTTATTGTGGTCTAAATAACTCCCCCAATTTAGTCACCACTTTTAGAGAAACTATTCAGTTTAATCATCTAAGCATCAAACCCCTAACGATGTTAGTGATAACTGATCACCTAAATTTTAAGATAATTTCATTTTAGTTCAATGTAAATCTACTTTTATCCATCTTTAACCCGTAAATAACCTTTTAGCATACTACCACAATTTTAATAAAGCGACTATTGTTCAAACCATCGTATTTGCTTCGGTAACCACTAATCCAATAACACGCTTCAAACAAAATGATTTAGAGTTCTTAATATTTTATTTATAATTACATTAAACGTAGAATTCAATAAGGGTCTCGGTAAAATAGAATGATATTTTTTTAAAGATCTTGAATTCGAGTAGTTATGTATACAAGGTATATGTATGTTATCAAAATTTAAAACAATTTGAATAAATATTAACTTATAGTCATCACAAATTATTAAAAGATAAATATACAAACATAAGCTTACTAATGATAATAGTAACTAACTGTACACATTTCTTTTAAGACTCTACTAAAACACATGGATGGATGGGTACGATGGTTTTAGTATAGTGGCTTGACCATAATGTGATAGTAGACTATAAGATTAACTGTGTGAGAAAGATGATTAGAGACTAAAGATAATCAAAATGAATATTTAACACTTAGGGATAAGATCGTAATACAAGTAAATCTCAAGGGTTAATCCTGTCAGATCGACAAAACATCCCAAGTCCACTTCAAGTCAAAGTAGCTCGAATTGTACGAACCAAAAACGAGCCCATTAAAACACAATGACAACTTCCCCAAAACACCTCGCATCCTTCGTCGAACTCAAACCCCCAAAAATTTTCACCCTACCCTCCTTCGTAATTCCCTCATTTTCAATCTCATTTTCTAAACAGCCCGCCCGCGTCTTCACTTTCCGCCAATATATTCTTTCAGTTCACCGTTACTTCTTCGCCGTGAGGATTCCCGCCGCCTTTACTCATATTCTGCTCAATTAGGGCTTCCACCGGCATTTTTGTCGTCCCTTTTTCGAGAATCGACGTTAGCCACCTCGACAGATTCTATGTTAGGGTTTCTATATTGAGTGTTGATTTGATATTGCTGTTTCTTATTTGATTCAGAGGGTTTTGTGTTCTATTGTTATTTTTTATTTTCCGGTAAGGATTTTGTTGGGCTGCGGTGATGCCGCGAAGTTCAAGGCACAAATCTAGCAAGCATAGTTATAGGGATGATAGGGACTACTCAGATTCGGAGAAAGAGTCGAGCTTAAAGGAGGAGAAAAAGAGTAAGGAAGAGAACAGTGGTAGGTTTTCAAAGGATCCTGGATCGGTTGAGAAGATAAAGGTCGACTACAAGGATACCAGCAAGTACCTATGGATTTCGGAGAATGGCGATTATGCGGATGACTGCAGTTCCTCAAAGCGGCACAAAGATAAGGCGGACGATGTAGTAAGCGACCGGTGGAATGGTGATGAAGATAATGGTAAAGGAGAGAAGAGGTCCAGGACTTCAGGTGAATCGAAGAGTAAGAGAAGAGAGGGTGCCGAAGGGGATGATACAAAGAGAAGTAAAAGTGAGGGGAAGCATCGAGAATCAAGTACAAAGGAGGAAAGAGAGAGAGAAAAAGATAAAGAAGGAAGGAGTGATAG